ATTCACTTAATTAAATATTTAAATTAAGACTTAATTTTATGTTTGATCCTTAATTTTTTTGGGTCCATGTTTAACATTTAATAGTAAATCAATGAAAGTGACCCTTTCAAAAATTAAGATACTATAAGATAAATTAAGGGATTAGAAAGACAATTTAATTTTGATTTAGTATTATTTGTCTCGTGTAAATTTTTATAATATTGTATTCTTTTTTTAATAAATAAAATAATATTGGCTAACAATAATTTATGCATACAATTGTAAGGTCTCAAGTTTAAATCCGAAATAATATGATAATTTTAATAATGTTGATATTTGTCAATTAAAATGCATCTTATCAAAATAATAGTCAAATGTCTAGAATATAAGAAGCAAAAAGGAATTTCTCGTTAGTGGATTCGATCCTCTTTTCCCTAGCACTAATATTCTAATATTTTTAATAAAAAAGTACACTTAAATAGAAGTTCAAGTAAACAATAAGTTGTATCGATGATCCTAAACTCTATATTTATTTGTAAAAATGTTTATGGTAATAATCTATAAAAAAACTACATGTAGTGAAAACTCTCAATAAGAATTTCTAGGGGAAAAGGAGTAGATTAAGTAGTTGGGTTAAATCTTTATAAAATTTTGGTATAATCTTCTTATCTCTTATCTCTGCTTGTTTTTGTTGTTTGTGTGGTATTTTGAATCGAACTCTAGTCTCGACTGTTGAGAATCAAATGTAAGGAAGAAGTCTTACATTGATTAGAAAATGGAAGAATGAACACTTTATAAGTGAGAGAATTCACTCACCTATTACCTTAAGGTTTTAGGTGGATATGTGGTGTGTATCTCACAAAAGGTGTGTCCCAAGTAAATATGCTCCCTCAGAATTGCCCATAACAATGGTATCAGAGCCTAGTTTCGAGTGAAGGGGCCAATTTACTTGTATCGAAACACCGATTTACTTGTATCAAAGCATTTCCCACAGGTGGTGGATAAAAGATGTTTCATTGAAGAGTGTCAACGGTAGTACAAGTGTATGTGGAGGAGAGAGCTTCCACATGAGGGGGAGCATTCTAGACCCATACTTGAGGGGAGTGTTGAGAATCAAGTGTGAGGAAGAAGTCCCACATTAATTAGAAAAGGGAAAAGTGAATACTTTATAAGTGAGAGAACTCACTCACCTATTACCTTAAGATTTTAGGTGGATATGTGGTGTGTCCCAACTAAAAATGCTCCCTCGGAGTTGCCCCTAACATCGACAAGGGTAGCTTCATGGTTTGACAGAGGTTAAGCATGAAGTTGAAATCTGTTCACATGTTGATGTCGAAGCTTTGCATAATGTAGTCGAAATACGCTCAAGCATGCAGCAGTCAAAATATGCTATGTTATTAGCATGTCAAATTGGGTCAGTCTGTTAGCCCACATATTTAAGTTAGCTTGTTGGTTAAGTTAGCTTAGTGTGATCGGTGGATCTGGAACTGACTGTTTAACGCTGGTTCGCGAAATGTCGCGGAAAGCAAGAGTCGCCACCGTCTTTTATTTTCTCCAATATGGAAAGGACAAAAGCACAGAAAAATTCCTTATTGAGATTTGTTCTCGGTTCGGGAGGTAGATTTATAGAAAGGGAAGGTGCTAGCACCCTTTCTATCCATGGTTATCCATGGGCTCTTAGATACTTGCTCATTTGTGTTTTCAAAAATGTTTGTTTGCTTTTTAAGGTGAGTGAGTTTGAAAAAAGTTTCTTTGAAAGTTTCAGATCGACTCTTGTATCAGTCCTCAAGAGTGTTTGAAAAGTTGTTTTTGAAAGCTTTTTGCAAAGTGTCGGTGTGAAAAGAAGTTTTTGATTTGTTTTTAATTAGAGCAAGTATCTACGAGTCATCTACCTACCCTAAGGAATTAGTCTGTGTAAATGTCCTTAAGGTAGTGCCATCCCACCATTGAGAGGTAGGTAGCACCACCGTTGGAGGTGTTCGGGTCAATTCGTTAAGGGACAGTGTGGTCACCAGAGCAATAGGAGAACACCTTAGAAGCTACCCCCATGCCATGTTCATGGACATGAGGACTTACTAAAACGTCCTCTACTCGACGACCACGTTTCGAGGGGCAAGACAACAGTGAGGCGTACCCTAGGAGTGGTGTGTGAATTGTGTGTCATTTTCAGTTATATTTGTCTTGTCATGCATTTGGTGGTCTACGCTTTGATTTTATTTGAGCATACATTCTTCCATGTGATTATTAGCAGTTAAGGGTGCGGGAATTAAAATGCGGAAAGATAAAGGTCCTACGCTATTACAAGGCGCGGGTCTACATCGCCAAATTAAACCAAGACCCGATTTGAATAAATAAAAATGCGAAAAATAAATATCCTAATTATCTATTACAAAGCTTCGGGGCAAATACATTATATTTAGAAAGGAAATAAAAATAAACATGCAAAAAGAAATAAAAATCGAGAGTGCAAGGGCGTTGGACCCTTTAAGGAAATTAAATTGGAATTAAAGGTTAATTAATGATTTAATGAGGAAAAGAAGTTATTTTTTGGAGTTTTTGTATTTATGAAAAAAAAAGAAGATTAATTGAAATTAGAAATTTAAATAAAAAACCTAATTCTAACTTGTTTTTAATTATTAAAGAAAATGTTAAGTTTTGACCTAATTTAACCCTAATTAATTAATTATAAGTTATTTACAAAAATAATTAATAATTAATAGTGACAAGAAAAAGATTATTTATTAAGAAAAAGAATTAAAAAAAAAAGCTAAAAGACTTATTTTTATGTTTTTAATTATTTAAGAAAAAAGCATTAAGGTTAAAACCTAAAATTAAAACTAAATTGATTATGAAAGTTTATTTACAAAATAATATTAAATAAAACATATTTTTATTTTTTATGATTTCTGATTTTTTTGTATTTTATGAAAATTAATTTTTATGGATTTAAATAAAATAATTAACATAATTAAACTAAATAAAAGAAAAGAATAAAGAGAGAAAAGAAAAAAAAATGCAAACATGGGGGGTGGTTGACCCAATTTGGAGGTCAATAGAAAGCAGTTTGGCCCATTAGATGGAGGCCTTTTTGACTTTTCATACTTGCGTGTAGAACATTTGACTGGTGTCCATGGTGGACTGCCCATCCTAGCCTTTGGATTGGAGTTGTTGGACGCGTGGCAAGCCAGATGATAAGGCTGTATGGTAAACCCTTGATGAAGCACTGCATAGAAGCGTGTTAAGGCAAAATATATTGAATAAGTGGGGGACCTGGGAATCGAACCCAGGTCCCTGGTTTCTTTTGCTGAATATGCCTGCAAAGCCACATCACTCTTCGATTTGCCTGCAACTCTTTCATTTATTCTTTGTTCATGAGATTCAAGCGTCCCTTGAAGCTCTTCCTTTGTCAATTTCGAAATTTTTTTTCTCTCTTCTATCGCCACCACTATGTGGTCGAACTTAAGAGCTAAAGATCTCAAGATCTTTGAAACAACATCTCTTGTTGTTAATGTTTCTCCACATACCTTGATTTGATTCACTAGTTTTGTAACTCTAGTGAAGAAATCATATATGCTCTCACTATCTTCCATCTGAAGCAATTCATACGTTCTCTTGTGAGTTTGTAACCTCACTTCTTTCACCTTTTCTGCACCACCAAAGGACTTCTCAAGAACATCCCAAGCTTCTTTTACAGATTCTGAATCACTTACTTTTTCAAAATTTCCTGGACTCACACATTGATGAATTATAAATAGTGTTTTATAACTCAGCTTCTCAATTTCCGTGTGTTTCTTCTTTTCTTCTTCTGAAGCGTTTTCGCCAAGCGCTTCAAATCCATCTTTTATAAGATCCCAAAGACCTTGACACCTGAATAAAACTTTCATCTGTTTGCACCAATTCTCATAGTTGTCTACTTTCAGAATTGGTAGAGTTGCTGGATAATTTGCATTCACATAGTTCGCCATCGTGAATTCTTCAATCGTTCTTGATTGATACTTCTCTTGAATCGAAATCGAGCTCTTGATACCAGATGTTGAAAATCCACTAAATATCTATGATAAATTTCTACTCAATGACTGAATTATGAGAAAGAAAAGAAAAGAAAGAAGACAATTATTTTCTGCAGAGTTTCTCTCTGTGCACAAACTGTGAAAAACTTTGTTATTCACTTGCAACTGCAAATTCTGTGAATACAGCTTAATTGACTTAATTTCAAAAATAGGGAAACTTGCATCATAAGCCCAAAACTTTAAAAGCCCAAAATACTTATTTTGATACTAAATCAAATCTATTCTATTTTAGATCTAAATTAAATCTATTTAAATCTAAAATAAATTTAATCTTTTCGATATTATCAATTACAATTTAACAAATTTTTGTACTTTTATGTTAATTGAGCTTAAAAGAAGTCCAAGTTGGAGTAATAGAGATGTTTTGGTTTGATAGATAAGTTAGCGAATGTGCTTCCGTGAGAGTTTGAAACTCGTGACTAATTTGACCCAAAAAACAGACACTTGTGGCTAGTAGTAGTTATGATATTCATTCCTATTTCTACCACCAACTCCCAAATTCTGTGGTCCACCAATGCTTCATGTTTTTATGTAACATGTGTACCTAAACTATGTCCAGCTTTTGCCATTTCATGCCAGAATAATCAATACTATTTCTATTAAAAAATACATCATAAATTTTTATTTATCACACAAATTTTCTGGTTTCTGATTGAATATTTCTTTTCTGTTTCGGTTTAGACATGTCTTTAAAATTGACATTGTACCTTCACACTGAAATCTTGCATAATGTGGAATCTGCAATTAAGTAGAAAATAAAAGACACTTGAATTTATAGATAACAAGTTACTTATGTTGTTTGTATACACCTCTTCATTCTATCTATCTATCTATATCTATATATCAACTTTGATCTCTCCTCCAAACTGAAGAGTTATCACCATACCATATCATATACTACACATCATACCAACTTTGATCTCTCCTCCAAACTGAAGAGTTATCACCATATCATATAGTACACATCATACCAACTTCTACAAGAGCAGCATGAGGAATTTTTAGAGCAACAGGTGGTTCCCTCCCATTTTTTTCAAAGAAACGATAAACCATTATTAAGAATATCTTGAGATAGTTTGATCCACCACGCACCACTAAATGTGACTGTCCTAAGAAATAAGCACTTCCACTCTCCCTTGCATCAATCAGTTCCAGTAGCTCCTTCTTAACAGATTCATCCATTTTAGGAACACTACTAGCAGGTGGCAACATGAACCTAACTTTTTTTCTTTTCTTGCAAGACTTACTACTACTCGCCGAAAGCGTATGATCGTTATCATCCATTGCTATTGGACTTACCTGAGCTTCATTGATAGTACTCACTTGCTTGCTCGATTCATTCATCAGAGGGACTAATGCATTTCCGTCTGATGAATTTCCTACTATAATCATTCTTTCGTCTGGCGAAACCATTGATTCAATGTCAGTAACATGTTCGATGGAAATGAATTCTCCAATAGCGCGAATAATCTTCTCCTCAAAATCATTCGTGTCCCTGATGTTATCACAATATCCATATCTCACAATGCAACGATATATTTTATAATCTCTTGGTCCAATCCTTCCTATGAGATACCTTTCACTTTCGGGAACATGAGGCACTGCCATAGACTTGAAGGACACCATGATCAACACTTGATGAAATGCAGGAAGATTAGTAATAAAATGTGAAAAGAAAGCTGGGATCCCTGTTACTATGTCTGTGTAAATGAAGCCAATTCCAGCTACCCTTGAAATCCCAAGACCCGGACTAACGTCTATCAGCCATTCGGTGGATACCTTGTTTTGTAAATCAAACTCGTACTTCTTCACCGTTCCATAATGCCATGAAAGCATGACTGTCATCGACACTATCAAAAGAACAACTAGATACCAAGCTCCCCTGTGAAATTGCAGCATACATGCTGAAAGATATGCAACCTCGACAACGCCAAAACATAATAGAAAGCATGCAGATATCAACAAATTCTTCTCCCAATACAAAGCAATGACTAGTGACATGAGACTAGTTGTCACCAGCATTCCAGATACTATAGCCAAACCTGCAACAAGTTGAGAGCTTAACCACGAATTATAAAAGTCTTAACAGAAGTGAAAAATAATAAAATTCAAGTCATAAAACTAACGCACTTGTTGCGTTGCCGATTTTCACCATGTCTCTAAAACCAATTGTGACAGTTAGACTGAAAATCATCAATAACCAATTGACATCAGGGATGTAAACCTGGCCGTGTATTGTTTTTGATGTGTGAACCACTTTCACTCTGGGAAAGCAATTTAGAGCCAGACACTGGTTAATAATAGAGAAGCATGCTGTTATAGTTGCTTGGCTTCCGACAGCGGAAGATAGTAGGGATACTACTATGAATAAATGTTTGGAATGACCTGCAGTATGTCACCAGCAATCACTTTAACACAGCGACGGAAAATATATATTATCTTCGAAATAAAGGACTTGATGAACTTACTTGGCACAGATTGACTAAGATGATTAAAATTATCAGTCTTCAAGTTTTTAGAGATAAATGCAGCCTGGCCCGCATAACATATCACAAGAAGCGGATAGATCAAGCAAATAAATGTAATCTGCAAACAACAGACACAAGCATGATGCAAAAGTTGTATGTTACTAATAATTCTCAATTACAATCAGATATACTAGAATTGCAGAACAGGTTATGCATTACAATACCTTGATTGATTTCTTGGAAAAATGGCCTAACCCTGCAAACATTGCCTCTGATCCTGCAACATAGCAGAACAATTCTAACAATCACTAGGTGATCATTTTTTGTTTATAAAAAGTACTAATAGGCAAATTCCCACCTGCTGCACATAAAATGGCGCTCCCTAATAGCCTCCATCTGCTTACATCAAGATTCCTCATGAATTTGATCAGGTATAGTGGTGATATTTTATAGAGAATTTCTACGTCCCAGCGAATAATATTATAAACTCCCACGACACCAACAAAGAAAAGCCAAACAGCAATAATCGGAGCAAACATGAACCCGATTTTTCGAGTACCACAGGGCTGCAGCACGAACAGGCCAATCAATATAACACACGCAGCGGGAACAGGTACATCTAGAAATGAATTAAGCACAAGGTCAACAGGATTACAGCAGGAGATACATAAAATAAGTATTTAGAAATGAATAAAGTAGTTACATTTTTGTAGAGCGTTTGAGACAGAATTCCGCGTATGTTGTGACGAGGTAACTGGTTATAGAAAAACAAGAAAGAAATCAGATATTTGGAAGGATCAAATAAGTGTAGTGTGAGTATAATAAAACACTTACATAGGTGTGATAATTCTGACAAGGATCTCTCAACTCCATATGAAGCTGATAAGACAGATAGTGCTGGAGTGAGGACCGCGGCTCCAATAGTCATACAGGAACCAAAAAGGGCCAAGAACAAAATCAAATAGTGACAGAACTTGTGTTTCTCAATGGCCCTTCTAGCTCTGGAGTCAAAGTTGATCTTAGAAGGAGGAGTTGTCGTGTCCTCCAAAAGCATGACCTGATTGGCAGTTCTATCACAAGGGAGTAGACCAACTTTTGCATTTCTACACAAGAGTGAGTATAAAGCAAAAGTACCACCTGCAAAAATATGGTAAATTAAAAAGGTTGATGCGATCGAAATAGAACGTAAGAGAATGAAATATGTTAGATACCCTCTTGATTATCATCAGCTTTGAGGACTATGAGGGCATACTTGATGAAAGAAATAGTAGTGAGAGTCCAAAAAATGAAAGAGAAGAGTTCATAAACAACTTCCTGAGAATCAAGATCCTCGGAACGCATTGTACTAAAGACATATAAGGGGGCAGTACTGAGTTGACCATAAACAACTCCAACAATTTGAAAAGACAGGAGAATTGTTTGCGTCCATGTTTTATTATTCTGAAAAGAAACACACAATTAAGATTGAAGAAAGCAAAGCAAAGCAAAGCAAAGCAAAGTGGTTAGAGTTATTACCATAGTAGAGTGATGAGGTGGAGAAGCCATGGGAATAGAAGAGGAATGATATATACTATAGTTGAAAAGAAGAGGGAGAGGGAAAAGGAATGATATATAACAATAGTTGAAAAGAGCGACGGAGGCAATGCTGGTAGGGACGGAGCACACTAAGCATTACAAAGAGAATACTAAGTTGTATCAAATTGTAGACAACATTATTATTGAGATAAGATATCTGATTTCAATAAAATTTCATTTACGAAAATAATAAAAGCACACTGTTTAATACGCGCTCAATATTCTCTCATGGTAATGCTGATTCAAATAACTCATCTCGAGGCACATAAATCTTATTCGTAGGGCTGCTTGTGTGTTTAATTGACTAACGTGGACGCCTCATTCATCTTATTCATTCCAATTTTCAACTCAAACACAACACTACTTTTTTATTATAAACAATATTGTCCCTCCACTCAATTAATATTCCCAAACTAGCAAACTCTTTAATAATACACCCATTATTGTTGCTTATAACAACAATAATTATCTACACTAACATTTAATAATATTCGAAGGAAGCACATAGAAAGAAGATATCATCTTCTGAAGGATTAAATCAATAAAGACAAGTTTGAGATAAAATATTGCAAAACGGAAATACAACTGATCAATATATTTTTACTAAATTTCTGAAGAAAGTCAGTTTCGACGAGTTAAAAAAAGACATCAGGATGAGAAGTCTCGAGAGCATGAATTAGGTGGTGTGTTACATGTATAATTCTTGTTCTGTTGAGGTGTATGTCGAATAGTTTTTGTATAAGTTGTAAATTGTATTCGACAGATATAACACACTGTCGAAATCATGTTTTGAACTTTAGTACTTTTTGTGTAATTGGGTCCGGACATTGTTTACCTATATAAAAGGCCGTTGAGTTTTAATAATAGTACATACATTTATAGTGAGAAATGATTTATATAATAAATTCTTAATTCTCTCCTCTTTTTCTCTTCCTTAAATCATCTTTCTTAAAAACCTTTTATTCCAAGAATATTCACTCTAAAGATAAGAAAGATGGATTCAAATAAGAAAGATGGATTCAAATAAGAAATGACAGTATTTTATTGTTAACAAGTAGAAAATTACCAATAAATTAGTACACCATTTATAGAAAAATAAATTAGATTAACATTTTAATATACTTTTTAAAGGACCCAAAATGCAAAGAATAAAGGGATATGTGAATATTGAAAATAATAACATGGATTTCCGTTTAAGTATGTGTGAATGATTGAATATGCGAAAACGAAACGCACATGTACGCATTTGCATCAATTGACTCTTCCCTTAAATATAATGCTTCACTCTCTTTATATTATTATTATCCTCATAATATCTTCTTTTTCTGTTACATTCCATGTTTTATATTACTTCAATTCAATCATTCACAAATCCTATCACATGCTTTTCCATTCTCAACATACTACAAAACTTCGATCTCCCTTTTTTTTTAATAATATAATAAATTTCATCTCATTCAGCTAAGATGACTACATCAATTATACTATGATGGTAATATTTTTCAATATTTTTCTTACCTAGATCTTTTTCTTATAAAATTTAATTAAATCACTTTAAACATAATTTTCATCATTTTTCTAATATCTCTCACACACACACATTTTTAATCATATCTCATATGATTTTATCACACATTTAATGAAACATCTTTATCTCTAAATATTTATTGACGTTGGTTGAAAATATACATGTTAAAAAAGTCTCATATCGCTTAATTTAAGAAGGAAAATAGCGTCCAAGACTATATATATGATTCAAATTCTTCATTCCAAGATACACTGATAAAAAACACTTTAAATTTGTATTTGATTTTTTCTTTTCTCTTATGCTCTTGTATTAGAGTGTTGTAAGATTGTCGCGCCGCGAAAAAACACATAGTCGCCACTGAACTTTATTTATCCCGAAGGAAAGGAAAGTATCGAGAAAACTCCAAAAGGAATGATAAGATGGTCTTGCGACCAAGAGAAATGGTACAAAAGGGGAATGTATTAGCACCCCTCACGTCCGTGGTACTTCACGGAATCCACTCTTGTTGTTCTAATCAAAAGGTGTGTTATGTCTAATGCTTACTTGCTAAGGGAATGCATGAATGTATTGCTTAAGGGAAAAGAAAAGTTTTTTATTATTGCGCTCGCCTAGGTTTTGAAACCCCGTGCCTACATATCCCCGTCGTGCAATAGAGAATCAGAACACTGTAGTTCTTCTAAATAATGTTGGTTTGTTGTGTGTTTTTTTATTAACGATGTTAAGTTCACATCCTATTACCGCTCGACCTTTGGAGACTCACGCATTACATAGAACGAAATTAACACATTCTTTCAGAAAAAGATTAAAGAGAAAAGTCATAAGGTAAAAGAGTTTGATTTATGAAGTATTTTTGTTACTTTGGAAAGGATTTGTGATTTGAATCAATACTAAAGACTATGGATGAAAGAAAGAGTAAGGTTAGAAATTCACCGCCTCACTCTTTTTCCACCACTTAAGGCTCGTGGCACATGATTCACATCTTTATTTGTTAAGTGTTTTTGGTTTTGATTAAGAAATAAATTTTTAGTTTTAGTATGAAATGCAAAAGAAAAAGACTAAGGAGAGTTAATCCTAATATTGTCATGTATAATGGCCCTAAAGTTGGGATATCAGGGAGTATCTACCTAATGTGTTGTCATGTACAATGACTCTAAAGTTGGTTTTGAAAGGGAAATCCTAACTATGTTCTCATGCTTGGATATCAATCATACGGTCTATCTTAATTCAAATCTTAACTAAGATTGAATCAAGAAATCCCATGGAAGCATGACATAAAGCACAAAGCAAGTGTACAAAGAGATCAGTCATGAATTAGGTCAATAATTAAACAATCATCAATCACTTGTATCATCACGACAATTGTACAAGTGCACACACAAATCATTGCCTACTTCGAGGTGAGACTTCAGATATACTCAGACATTGCCTACTTCAAGGTAGGACTTCAAATACTCAAGCATTGCCTACTTCGAGGTAGGACTTCAAAATACTCAAACATTGCCTACTTCAAGGTAGGACTTCAGATGTGCTCAGTATGCTCCTAACCACAATAATAGCCTATGATGATACGTGAAAAAGATATAAAATTGAGATTCAAGTTGTACCTAATGGAGAAAAGTCTGTTGCCTTTTCAACACGCGCAAAAGCTCAAGAATCCGTGTAGAAATTGTTTAGGAGAATGGATCATCACTATGCTTGGTATAATACTCAAGGAAACTTAAAAGAAGAGTTAAGCAACAGAAGTACAATAATTTGTGATTAAAAGGGAATGTCCAAAGAGTGGGATCCAAGGCCACAAAATGCACCTTACAAATAGTAGCTGTTGTACCCCAAAATTTTCCCTCTTTTCATACACGCATATTATTGGTTTTATGGTTATGGAATAAATGTATATTTATCAAGCTTCTTCAGGTTACAAGTGACGTTTATTTCGTCAATGGATATTCTTAGAGTATTTTCCGTGCTGAAGATCGGTTCGCCGTTTTGCAACGATTCGGGGTTCAAAGATTCACAAGTCCAACCCGACGCGTCATATTCAGGTGTTCTTTCACCAATATATCTCTGATAACATATTCTCAAATTCAGGTTCGACTCAAGAGTCAATTTTTTAAAGAAGGTATCCGAATGGGTGAGTTTTCTCGAAGAAATATGGTGAAAAAGTGTGCTGAAAGTGCAGTTTTTACGTGCTAAAAAAAATTTATAACTTGAAGATCGTGGCTTGTTTTGAATCCGTTCCGGTGGCCAAAATTCCGTCTTGACGTCATCTACGTTTTCATCTCTCACGGCTGGAAGCCAATTTCGATTAGAAGGTCTTCAAAAATGCGGATTTATCAAGTATTTTCGTACAGAAAATTTGTGACAGAAGTTTATTTGCGTCATGTTCAGAAAATCATAACTTGGTCGATTTTCATCGTATCGAGCTGGTTCCGGCGCCAAAATTTTAAAAATTAAGTTGGCTACATTTTCAAAGGAGGTATCGAGTTCGAACGGTATTCATAAGGCCTTGGTTTTTTGCTCAGAGTGCGTGTGACGCGCTGAAAATCCTGAATGCTGAATATTATTTCATCTGGGTTGAAACTTCAAAAATTCATAACTAATTCACCGTTTATCTGATTGAGCACATTTTCGGACAGGAGTTAGTTATCGATGTCAGCTACATTTTTTTTTCACATTTCAACTTCAAAAATTGCACTTAAGCCCCTGCGATTTATCCTGGAACGTGACGAACTCAAGTGAACATTTGAGGCTCAATTGCACATTCAAAGCCCATTTTTTTTCTCTAATTTCTATTATATAATCTCATTCTTTTCACACAAATAAAAGAGGACAAAAAAAAGCTTTTGCCACAACGCTGTCAGAATAACAAATTCTTTCAAAAACCCTAAAACCTTGAAATCCTTATTACAAATCCCCATCTCACTACAAACAAGTCATCCCTGTTACAAACCCACATCTCACTACTTCTCCAGTAAGGGTAAGGCTGACTTGATCTCCATGATCAAAAGGGCATAAAAGCATTCATATCACTACTTCTCCAGTAAGGGTAAGGCTGATTTGATCTCCATGATCAAAAAAGTATAATCATTCATACATGCCATATCGGTTTTAACATTAAATTTTTTCATATATTGGCTTTATTTGTATTTTATGATATATAGTAATTTATTTAATGTGTTCATGAGATTTAACACTGCAGATTTAGACAGGATCCCATACAGGTTCATTACAGAACGTTGAGGCCAAAACACAAAAGGCCAAAACAGAACAGCTAACACATGATACCAATACATGGCGAGGCAGACATCCTGAGAAGGTTAAGGGCGTGGGTTCAACAACCACCCCTATTGGTTTTGATTTTTTTCCTTTCTATTTATCCTTTCACCTATTTTTATTCTTTCTGTTTAAAACCTTTTTTTCATAAAACTTAACATTTTTCACAAAC